TAAAATGACATAGCTTATAATTTTTTTTTTATTTAATTAAAAAAAATATTATTTAAAAAAAACTGACAGATGATGGCTTATAAAATTATGCTTAACCATGACATACTAAAAATGACACTCAATACGATGATCAAAGATGGCCAACAACTACTGTTTTACATATAAAAATTAGAAAACATCTACATAAAGTCATTTCGAATGAAGTGTATAAGGAGATGAAAATATTAGGTTCAACCACAAATTTGAGTTAATCTTGTGATTTTGAATTCTTTAATAGTTTATAAAAATGTTATGCATACTTTGTAAATGTACAGTTTATAATTTTTTTTAAAAATTAATTAAAGTTTAATATTGATCCTATTTTGTGCACCTTGGGGCAAAATGAGCACATTAGATCTTACATGTTATATCTGTTAAAGTGATAGACAACATATAAATTACTTTAAAATATTGACAAATAATAACTTTTATGCTTTGGCATGACACAAAATATACAAATAAAATTCAAATTAACATTGTTATATTTAATGTATCATAAGAAAATATAAAAATTGAATCGGTTTATCTTTAATAATTTATAATGCTTTATGCATACATTGAAAACATACAGTTTAAAATGTAACTATTAAAATCACATTTTATAATTCTTCCTGAATTGTGCTCTTACATTTTCTAGCTATGGTCTATAATTTCACTCATAAACAAATTAAGTCACACAGTGCTGCCACTGTTATGTTGCCAATGCAGGTTTTGCTTTTCTATCCATGTAGTTACAAAAAGCAAAAGCCACTGGTAATGGTACTCCTGGTTTACTGGGATGGGGTTCAATTCCCTACAGTGCCCTTGTCTTTTTGTAGCAACTACATACAATCTAATATTTTTACTAGATTTATGAAATCTATAAATAGTATAAAAGTCTTCCAACAAATAAAATATAAATCATGGAATATAGTAAATGTAGTATGTGGAGTCAATTCATTTAACTTTCCACATATGAAAAAAAAACATCCATTTTGTATGTGCATCATATTTTTTGATAAATCTTTAAAATACTTAATTTTCCTAATATAATATCTTACTATATTATTTACACAGATGTGCTATGACTAGTGTCTTTGACATTTCAATGGAAATTTTGTAACCAACTAATCAAAATCCTACTCCCATATTTTTCAGAAAAAAATCACCCCTGAATACATGTCATACCGGGTTAAAATTGAATTGAGTAAAAAAAAACATTGTATTATATAACCCTTATTTTATGTCATTGAAACATCTCGTTTATCTTATGAATAGACATTGCTCTGACCCCACAATCAATATCACAAAAAAATGCAGGCAAGTTTTGACATGAAATTATTTTTTTGTTTTGGTGATTCTTTTTTACTTTTCCACCCCAGATATTCACTTTTTTTTAATATAAGATAAATGTAACTTTTACGTGACAGTAGTTCAAATGTAGATGTGTAAACATACACAAAAAGAAATGCATAAAAAAATTGATATAATAAGATTTGATATGGCTTCTTTGAGTTAGTGCAAGTAAAACATTAAATGTAGATGAGTAAGCACAACAAAAACTAAAAACAATAACTGTAACTGAAGAGTGAAATATGGAGCAGATTTGACATTGCTTCTTTGAGAGAAACATAACATTTCATGTTGCCAGCAGGTGGCGTGATGACTATAAATGACATCTTCAAGCCAGGTCAATTATCAAACATGTGAAGTTTGGGGCAAATTGGACATTGCATGTTTAAGTTAGTGTAAAACAAGTAATTTCCTGTTGCCAACAGGTGGAGCTATAATTATAACTGAATATTGGCCTTTAGATGTGTTCAGACCAGCACTTTTATAAAACGTGTGAAGTTTGGGGCAGATTGGGAATTGTATGCATGAGTTACAACAACTTCATGTTTCATAGTATTAATAGCATGCTTTAGCACTTAGCTAAGTGTTGCTAGCATGTTTAATTATGTTTCTAGCATGTTTCCAGCCTATTTAGCTTTTGCTGACACTTTTTAAAATGTAGCTAGGTGTCCATAACAGTGTTAAACATGTCACTTCCTGTTGCCAGCAGGTGGCGCTATGACTATAACTGAATATGGGCATGGATATGTGTTGAGGACAGAACACCTATCAAACGTGAGTAGTTTGGGGCAGATCAGATATTGCATGTTAAAGGTAATGCGAAACAAGTAATTTTCTGTTACCAGCAGGTGGCGCTATAATTAGAAAACTGAATATTGGCTTTTAGATTTGTTCAGACCAGGGCTCTAATAAAACATGTGAAGTTTGAGGCAGATTGGACATTGTATGCATGAGTTACAACAACTTCCTCTTTGATTGTGCTAATAACATGCTTTAGCACTTAGCTAAGTGTTGCTAGCATGTATGAGCACATTTCTAGCATGTTTAGCACACAATGGCATATTTTACTGTGTTGCTAATAGTGCAGCACAGTGTTAAACATGTCACTTCCTGTTGCCAACAGGTGGCGCTATCACTAAACTGAATCTTTGCATGTAGATGTGGTCAGGCCAGGACTGTAATCAAACGTGTGAAGTTTGGGGCAGATTGGACACTGCATGCCTGAGTTTCATACACTTCCTCTTTCACTGCATTAATAGCATGCTTTAGCACTTAGCTAAGTGCTGCTAGCATGTTTCAGTATGTTTCTAGCAAGTTGCCAGCCTATTTAACACTTGCTGACGATTTTTAACATGTTCCTAGGAGTCCAAAACGGTGTTAGGCATGTCACTTCCTCTTGCCAGCAGGTGGCGCTATGAGTATAACTGAATTTGGGCATGGGTATTTGTTCAGGACATAACACATCAAACGTGTGAAGTTGGGGCAGATTGGACACTGCAAGCCTGAGTTACAGTAACTTCTTCATTCACTGCATTAATAACATGCTTTAGCACTTAGCTAAGTGTTGCTAGGCTCGGGCCCTAATAAACGGAGGAAATCCAAGAGGGTCCTCACACCATCGGTGCTCGGGCCCTAATAAACGGAGGAAATCCAAGAGGGTCCTCACACCATCGGTGCTCGGGCCCTAATAAACGGAGGAAATCCAAGAGGGTCCTCACACCATCGGTGCTCGGGCCCTAATAAACGGAGGAAATCCAAGAGGGTCCTCACACCATCGGTGCTCGGGCCCTAATAAACGGAGGAAATCCAAGAGGGTCCTCACACCATCGGTGCTCGGGCCCTAATAAACGGAGGAAATCCAAGAGGGTCCTCACACCATCGGTGCTCGGGCCCTAATAAACGGAGGAAATCCAAGAGGGTCCTCACACCATCGGTGCTCGGGCCCTAAATATTTAAGGGTCAAGATTCCAACTAATGCAAACACTAGCTATGTTTACATGTACACTTTTTTGTCATTCCGATTGAAAGAGTCGGTGGACTGTTTACATGAGATGTTGTCTAATCCGATATGGTGTTTACATGTGCCGGCGCTTTCGATCGGAATGACTTTGTGACATGCACACATTAGCCTATGTCCTGTTTGCCATCTTTTATTCCTGTCAACATGGAGTTCCATTATTTCTTATGCACGCTATTTTTATGTAAAGTGTTGCTCTTAATCAAACAACAGCGTGAATTTGTAAGCATACTAGTGCTGGAAGGTATGAGGAAAAGACGTGCTCCGGAAGCTGACCTTTTTGGTGGCTGTGCATCTCTAAGGAGCATCTCAATACTACCCCTCCCTCCTCTGAAAAGCAGAAGCGTGTGGAGGAAGGTCCGTAGTAAGGACTGGTGGGAGCGGGTTGTATTGCTGGAATTTAGGGACCTGGAATGGAAACTAAACTTTCCCACGAGTCCCCGTCATTCACACGTTTGTGTGGACTGGTAGAGGGATTTATGGCCCCAGAAAAAGAGATGGTCAGAAACCCAATTCCCCTAATTATGTGTGTCACGGTAGTTTTATATAAACTCGGAAGCTGTGTGGAATACCGTGTTGTGGCAAATCAATGTGGTTCACAAGAGCACAGTAAAAAAAGTTTGTGTATATCTTCTGCAAGGGAATGATGAATGGGCCGATACGAGATCTGATACGGATGTCAGGTGAAGAGGAGGCATCCGAAATCGCATGGAGATTTGAGGAAGCGCATTTTGTCCCTCAAGTAATGGGTCTTATCGACGGCACCCACATCCCTATCCTCCCTCCATCTGGTGGTTATAAAGATTTCGTCAATAGAAAAGGCTGGCCTTCATATGTTCTGCAGGCTGTAGTACATGACAGATGCTGGTAAGACATTTCATTTTTGGGTGAACTAACCCTTTAAGGAAAGTAGGCTGTTTTACTCACTCTTGAAGCATCCTAGGCGTATGTGACTTTCTTCTTTCAAACGAATCCAGTCGGAGTTATATTAAAAATTGTCCTGGCTATTCCAAGCTCTATCATTGCAGGCTAATAACACCACTTTAATTTACAGCCTGCAAATGTTGTATTTACCCTGTAACTACTTGGAACAAGGGAGGAACGAGTTGGACTTAAACACAGAACAAGTGTATATTTGCACAGTAATTACAGAGAAAAATATTGCAATAGTTTTAATTTAATTGTTCGATATGGAGGACCAAACCTGCAGAAATTAAAAATGAATAAATGAATGAATGAATGAATAAATACACATTTTAATTAAGAAATAGATAAATACATGTGATAATAGGATAATAAATAAATGAATAAACGACTTGATAAAATAAATATGATTCATTTTTAATAAAATTCTTTTTTTAAATTCTTTTTTCCCCTTAATTTATCATTTTCTGCTTTTCTTTTTAATTTATTTTATTCTTTTATTTATTTATTTTCCCATTTATTTTATATTTATTTATTTATGGATTCATTTATTTTTATATTTATTTATTTCCAGATTTATTTATTTTTTACCTTTATTTGTTTAAAAAAATTTTTTTTTTCATATTTATTCTAACATTTCTTTGTCATGTATGATAATTAGGTAGGTTGGTCTTGCTAATAGGTCTTGCTTACCATTGGTTCATCGTTGATTAAAGCGCTTGCTCGATTACTCTGGCTTTGTAGTGGCGTCGGGTGATGACAGGTTGTCGCTCTCGCGTGTGTATACTATGGCGGACGTTTCACAAATAGCTAGAGTTGCGCAACTTAGCGAATGAAGTCGATAACAACGCATCAAATGATTATGTGTTGTTTAGATTAGATGTGCTTATCGATGTTTTAGAAGAGCTATTTGCCGATATGGATGTCGAAGTACAGCCTGAAGTTTTAGGCTCTCTGCTAAATATTTCCCAGCACATTCAAAATCTGTGCGAGTCAGATTGTACTACGATGGGACGTCCATCGTACTTGCTTCTGATAAGCACAGTTGAAACTTATCTCTCAATGGGCCAAACTGCTGGAAACATTGCAAAGTTGTTTGGTGTCTGTGAAAGAACTATCCGGAATAGGATGGAGCAACATGGTTTAAGGTAAGCAGCAGCTCCTAGTAGCCTAGCCTTATAACCTACTTAGCTTTCACATTAGTGTTTATATTTGTGTTGTGTGGCTGATAATGGGTTTATTTTATTCTCATAGAGTAAGCGACCTGTTTTCAACTCTGGAGGACGCTGAACTGGATGCTTTGGTAGAAGATGTACTAAAGCGTCACCCAAATGCCGGATATAAAATGATGGTTGGACATATCGGTGCACAGGGCTTTCGAGTACAGAGTAAGGCGGGTTTTGAACTTTGACATATTAGCATCCCTGGGTAAAAAGCATGTCAAATAGAAATAGACAATTACGTTTTTTTTTATATATACAATACAATTATTTATACAATACAGATTTTTTTTAACCTGTGCATTACTGTGAAGCTCCTTTGAAATGGTGTCAGTGTTGCAGAGTTCATTATTACATGATTTTAAGCTAGTAAAACATCTCAGAAGTGTCCTTATTGAGCTCAGTTGATTTCAAGTTTTTGTATTCACATCTGATAGTGTCAGTACAGTAATATATTTTAATATTGTCTTTTAGGTCCCCACTGAGCATGCTAAAGGTGAACTCAAAGACTGGAATGTTTACTATGTATATTGATGAATTTACTTTTTGTAGGGCGACGTGTTCAAGAATCCATGAGACGTGTGGATCCTCAGGGTGTCCTTATGCGCAGTCTTCAACTGAACCCCCTGAGGCGTAGAAAATACACAGTCCCTGCACCCAACAGTTTATGGCACATCGATGGTAACCATAAGTTAATAAGGTATGCTGACAACAGTAGAATATTATTTATCATGTTCATCTGGATGTGTTTTCTATTTCAGACTGAATAGGAAATGGTTGTACAGTTGAACAAAAGAAAATTAAAGCATGAATGTGTAATTGGAGGGATGTGTGTTCATAGCTTAATTCAATGCAGATCAAGATCACTTTATCACAGTGATTTTCAGCATTTAAATTTCATAACTACCATGTAGACCGCAAGTGTAAATTTGTTGGGGTAAGGTTGAAAGAACTTTGTGATAAGATGGCAATCAGAGCTGTCCTCTCCAGCCAAAATCCTTAATACACTGTTCTAAAATGTATAGCTGAATGTTGTTTTTCATAAGAAGGATCTTTCTTGTGAACCTAAATTTCCAATGACTCTTACCAAATGTTATGAAATATTAATATTCATCCAGCAAGATCATATAATAAGTAATTGGATAATGTCATGTGATACCATTTTGTTTGTGTGTGTGTGTAATGCTAGGGAACTGAAGCAATGTGCTTGGATGAGTGGTGAAACATTCATCAGCAGAGAAACATCCGTTTGACTATTTTGAGAATTTTCATAGACATTATTGGTGTAATTATTCGAGCAGATCTTTCTGATTGTGTTGTTAAAGGTCCAGTAAGGGATTTCTGAGAAAGACTGTTGATAATTTAAATCACTGAAGCAAATGTCCCTACCTAAAAGGATAACACCCCTATTTTGATAGCTCTGCCTCCAAATTCACGAAGACCCCTATGTTATGCGACACAGGCACCTCTCCCATCATGAGAGTATATTTTTGAGAGAAGAGTGAGAAGTAGATTCTCTCCTTCAACATCTCTGAACCAACTGGCAGATGTTCTGATAGACGCCATTCACCTGGAGACTATTCAAACGTTTAGTTAATCTAGTCTAATAATGTTATCATCTTTATTAAATCAAATTTTGGTAAAACATCTTAATAAATAAATATTGTCTATTTCACAGGTGTTCATATTATTTTGTCCAACCCCTGTATGTAAAAGGTATCGTCTTAAGTATGTGATATGCTGTTTTGATTTACTATAGAAAGTAGAACGTGTTTTATTTCATTACTCAAAAGCCTAGTTGTTAATATTGTTGAAATTAATTTTCTTATATCTGTTCCAGGTGGCGTATTGTGGTTCATGGTGGCATTGATGGCTTTAGCCGTCTAATTGTATATTTGAACGCTGCCACCAATAATAAAGCTGCTACAGTCCTGACAAGCTTTTTAGAAGGTGTCAACCTGTATGGTGTGCCGTCACGTGTGAGGTCAGATAAAGGTGGGGAGAATATCGATGTTGCTCATTTCATGGTTTCCACTAGAGGAGAGAACAGAAACTCACACATCACAGGGAAGAGTGTCCACAATCAGAGGTATAATCAAACATATACAATGCCTTACTAAGTTTACAGGCCCCTTGAAAGTTGTTTTGTTTTAAAGAAATGCAAACAATTACCAATATATGCATGGTTTCTAGATCAATAAAAGACTACTATGATAGTTAGAAAATTAGTCTGTAATGATTGGAAAACTAAATCCCCACGTCTTTAAAATAGATTTTACTTTTTAATTCCCAGTTTAGGCTATGGAAGCTCCACTCCATATACAACATTATGAATGTTGGTCCTTGAAGGTCCTAGTTTAAAATTCTTTGTATTTTGGCTTCCTTTACTGTTAGGATTGAAAGGTTGTGGAGAGATGTTTATGCTGGAGTGCTTGATCTCTTCTACACAATCTTCACCAACCTTGAGAATGACGGGCTTCTGAATCCAGATGATGAAGTGCATCTCTATGCCCTCCAACGGTGTTTCTTGCCACATGTACAGAAACACCTTCAGTACTTTCAGGATGGCTGGAACCACCACAAGTTGCGGACAGAAGGAAACCAGTCACCAATACAGCTCTGGTTAAGTCATCAACTTCAAGACCCTATCCAGGTATTTATATCAGAGCTGGTTAGCAATTATGACACATGAATTAGGATGGATAGATTAGAAATTAGATGGTAGATTAAAAATATTAGATAGACGGGTAGGTGTAGAAATATTAGATAGATTGGAAATTATGCCATCTTAAATTAGTCCAATTGGCTTTGGTGTGATTAAATTGAGTTTTTACAGTCTTGGCTCATCAGAAGATTCTGTCGATAAAAGTCTATGGGATTTTTCTGTGTTTTGGCCATCATTTTTAGGAAAACCATAAATTAGATCAGTTAGACACGATATAGCAACCTGAGTCAGAACCGTCTGAGCCGAGTTTGGTGGATGTAGAGTTAAAG